TTGTCGCTTCCAATAAGAAATGAAAAGGAAGATACAACGTACCTCATTTTATTAAAAAAAATTGTTTATTATGGAGAAAAAAAGAAAAGAACAAAAGGTATCACACTCAGAATAGTCACTCGGTTCATTTCAGTTCACTCGATTAATTTCAGTTTGATCCATCACGGATTAGTTACTTAATAAGTCAATTTAATCTAGTTTACTTATTAGCGAGTCTAAAAAATTTGAACTAGATATTTCTTATCTTGGATCAAGTTATTTTTTTAAATAAAAAAAAACAAAATTTTCTAATTCAAATATAAATAAAAGGGAGGGTTTTAAATTATATTTATGATCAATTAAACATAAGATTTCATACACACAAATATATCACAAAATTTTCTCAACAAAATTTTTAATAGTTTCATATCGATTCAAATTTGTTTTTGTATAAAAATTAAGTTACTAAGCATAGATTTGTTAATTTTTCATGTTGTCTAATTATTTCATACAAAAATAATTTCACACGAAACTTCGTTTCAATATTTTATAAAATAATTAACTCAACAAATAGTACTTATTAGAAAAATTAGGTGGATTGGCAAGTCAAGAGGTTCAATCTGAATAAACCGAGTTCTTAGTTACTCAAGTTCAAAATTAACCTGTATAAAAAATTTTAAAAAATAATTTTAACCTAATCCGATCCAAACCCGTGATAGGCTAGGTTCTAACATATTTTGACAACACTAACTAAAAGTAGCAAAATTTAAAATCAAAATAATTTGAAAAAATAAAACAATGCAAGAAATATATAATTTGTTATTCAATTTTAAAATTTCTAATTTTAAGAAGGAAATTTTAAATTTAATTCAATCTTATAAAATTAATTTATAAGATTTTGTCAAGTGATTAAAATATATTCCTATAAATTGAAAGAAAATTGATTTCACTGTTAACTACTGTTGTACATCCTCTTCAACTATAAAGTGGTGTTGAGCAGAAAGGATTTAATTTGAGAAAGATGAAAATGTGTGTTGAAATTGCAGAACAAAAAGAGGATTGGAAAATGGGTATGTACGGACACCAACTAAACTTGTGTGAAATGAATGGTTGAATAGGAGTTGCCCCCACAAAAGTACATGAAGACACTCTTGAGATGACGTGTATGGTGGTTTCGACAACCATTAATCAATGACATTAATATAGCATGATGACCACTGCAATGCCAATGCCTTGAAATTTAACCCTAAATAATAAAAGGATTTCTTATCATAGTAATGGCAACAGTGTGCATACTACTTTGCTCCTTGATGCATGGAGCATTTATTCATTAGCCACCTACTTCTGTCATCTCCTCCTTTATGTCAATTTCTTCTTTATCATATACTACAAAATTAGTGGTATCTCTCTTTCCTAACTTCTACTAAATGTAGGCCACAAAAATTAGATCATGCCTTCTAACCAGTACCTTCCATTTCTTTTTCTTCCTTACAAAAAATTCACATATGCAAAATTAGTATTTAATATTATCAATCTCTTATTTAAGTTCATATTCTATTCTTTTAATAAATATCTTTGTATAGACCTATCACTTTTTTAATATTGTTTTTATACCTTGTTTTCAAAGTATATTAATTTTGATTTATTAATAAACTTTTTAATATATTTTAAAACAGGAAAACAAGAGTTAAATATGTTTTCTGTTCTTTAAATTTTAGTAAAAATTAGAATTAATCTTTGTTTGAAATTTTGACCTAATTTAGTCTTTCAACTTTAAAAATGTGCAGATTTAACTTTTTAACCAAATTTTGTTAAATTTATTTGATATTTCAAACACATGAAATATGTGATTTGTTTGCACTATTTAACACATTTTTTTTAATGTTAGTTGAGATTATGAAATGCTTTTGACTTTAAATAAAATTAATAAAATTTAGTTAAAATGACTAAATTTACTAAATTTTAAACACGAAAGAGTAAAATAGTTCAAAATTTTGAAAAGAGACTAATTTCAATTTTTATTTTAAGTTAAAAGACAAACATATATTTAACCCTTACCATAATTAAAAACACAACGCAAAGATAAAACAAAAAAATCTTAATTTAGTGTCTTTGCTGAGATATCATAATACATATTATATTAAAGAAAAGATAGGTTTGATGATTTTAGAAAATGAAATAACATTTTTATAGTGTATTACATTGCATTGACTCACTAACACTTATGATACTTTGAAAGAAAGGCCCACAGCCTTTCCATCATGGCTCAACTTGGAAGTTAGATACATCAATATAATTGTTATCACAGTTACTTTTAGACAAAAATGGAGTCTGCCATGTGATTTTATGGTTGAAAAGTTTCTATTATTTTCATAGTCGAATTTTTAACGTTGTCGTAAGAACTTCCACTCATAAACATGTACAGTCTGTGCACGAGATTACAGGTCAAAGTAATTTAGACAAAAGAACTTTTTAATAAACTTGTTTATAAATATTTATAAGAAGAAATATTAAATAATTTTTTTATAAATTAAAATTAACTTGTAAATATGTTTAAAACAAATTTTTAGAAAAAAAGTTGGAGCATAGGTTTGCAAATGAAAATGATATGCAGGTTTCATAAAACTCAAAACCAAGCAGAAAAATACACGTCATTACAACATTATCTTTGTACTATAAAACTTGCTATAATTTGGTCCTTATGCATGTTATTTTCCTTTGTGCATCCCTTTCCGACATTAACTTCTGCCTTTTATAATAAGGAAGAAGAACTTTCCTCAAGATTTCTAAACCAAACCCTCAGAGGCAAGGAACTTTCAAAACCAAGGATTTTCTTAGATTATTCTAAACCAAAGTTCTTCCTTTTATAATATAGGTATATGCTGATGTATTTTATGCCCTACTAAAACATTTTATATTTTGTAAAATTTTGCTGTTAGTTAAACTTTATTTTTAATAAAAAAAATTAAGCTTGATCTAGATAAATTGAGTGTGTCATATATCTTAAAGTTTATAAGATATAGTCATGTTATAATAAGTTTCTTATACAATTTGAGTTTTATTGAATGGTAGTGTAAAAAGTACAGTGTTGATGCATAGACTTTTCCTCCTCTTCTTCTAATATTATTAAATTTCAGAGAGATTTTTAAGATTATTTTTCCAAGCAATGTCCTTTATTATATATATATATATATATATATATATATATATATTATTTAAACTATTGCATAAAGTAAAAATATTAATTCCTTCATTGCAAAATTTAGAAAAAAGGACCATGTTCATATTCCCATTTCGTTAAAAAATAATAATAAAATGATTTTATAATTATTAATCGAGACAGTACCACTAAATAAATTTTCACTCTATAGAAGTACAATTTTGTTCTTGAATCTGTTGGGTGGTGAAAAAATGAGCAAGAGAATAAATTTAATGCATTTGATAGATATGAGAGAATGTTGCTATAGATAAATAGATTTATTTAATAAGAATAGAAATAAATGTGTTTGAAAGAAAGTTGACATAACATCTGCTGTAGAAAAAAAAAATATTTTCGGTAGTTTGAGTACATGCAAGGAACACCAATAGAAACTCAAGAAGGAGCATAGATAGCATAGAGAGTGATCTTATATCTAAAAGTAGAGAGAAACAGATAAAAGTTAAAGTGTATATATACAGAAGAAATTAAAAATGATTTAAATGACAACAATTTATCTATAATGTAAAAATTACATTAGAACATTTTAATATTGTATGATATATTGAAAATATTTAAAAATAATTTTAATTATTTTTTTATGAAAAATTAGGTGCTAAATTTATTATTTATATAGTAATCAATTCCCGAAATATTTTTCTCATTGATAAAACAGTTAAAATATTTTATCTTTCCTAGGATGCATTTAAATATTTAAATAAGATCTTACAATTTTAGTTTTGAAAATGTTCTTTTCATAATTTATAATAACACGAATAGTTAATAATATTGAATCCGTCAATTTTAAATACTTTTTTTATAAGTTTTATGCGTCAACTTCCATTTTATTTTTTATATTATTAAAATTTAAAATTGATCTTTAAACTTCATCCAATAAAATAATATAATTACAAATGTGAACAACATCATTTCATATTTATACTTGGGAGCATTTTTTTTATATGCTATTAGCATATTCCTATTAAGTAGAAATGAATGCCACCACAGTTTGTCAAATATGTATTTTAAGAAGAAAGGGAAATGAATAGATGGAAATCAAAATAAAATAATATGAATAAAAATTCAAAATGAGACCAGAAAAAATATATGCGTCTGCATATTTGCATAATCATAGTAAATGTTATATAAAATTTAATATTTAAGATTTATATTATTTGTAATCTTAATATTTTTATATTATTTATAAGCGGATTTGAAACGTGTCATATTGTTACTCCTTGAAAATAAGGAGCAAGAACAAACTCATTAACTATTTATCTATCTACATTCAATATACAATAAAAACCGTACACATTGGATTATTCATCAAACTCACTAGAAAAAAAGTTTGATAAACATCAAATTTATTTTGAATACTGTGATAAAAGAAAGAAGAAAAAAAAAATAGTTGGTAGTAAAATATTTGGCATACAGCTGCATGACTGTGTGAAAACACTTTCAGGTAAAATAGAAATTCCAATATAATATGATTCTGGAAACAGACAGAGAACTACAAATGAAAAATAGAAAAAAAAATACAGATGACCAAGATCAAAATATTCGTCACTGTTTTGAAAATAGATTTACTTCTAACAATAATTGCTTCAATTTAATTATGATTAAGAAATTCCAAACCTGTTAGGCGGTTAACCCGTGCATGTATATATATGGTTACTGGGATGATGTCCATGATTCTTTCCCAGGCGATGTGTTACTTCAAAGGAATAGTTAAAATTGACACTTATATACACCGAGTTCCTTTTCTTTGATCCCAATTTGATGAATTCGGATGCTTAAATATCACCAATCATAATATTGCAAAGTGTATTAAGTAACTATCAAACTGGCCATCGTCATATCAGCACTTTTGACAACATTTTTACAGAAACACAAAAGTAAACGAATTGAAAGGGATATAGATATATATATATAGATGGAATGAGAAAAGGGAGGTAGTACTATTCAAGAACTATATATGACACGGATTAAGGTTCCTTTTTTTCCTTGTGGGGTTACCCGAAGAAGAAGTTGAAGCTGCAGAAGGATTATTTCTAGTTCCAATTGAGTAGCTCCTCGATCATCTGCAAAGCGAGTCTATCCTCCTCCTCCTCTTCTTCTACTACTACTACTCCATTGTTTCCAGCAGTGTCATTAGCACTACTGCTGGGCGACCATGCTGATTCACTCTGTGTCTGCTTCTTCCCAAGCTCCACCCTCATGACCCAATTGGAGCCAGAATGTGGTCCTGCACCTTTCTGCCAGACTCCAATGTGGGAGTTATCGGCATCGAGCCTGAGACAAGTGAGAGAAGGAGCAGGGTCTTTGCAGTACTTTCTGAGCTTAGTGCTGAGGAGTTCTGAAAGAGCTTTGGGAGATAAGAAAGCGTTGTCATGATCAGAAGCAGAAGCAGAAGCAGCAGAAGGGGTGGTGGAAGTGGTGGCATCAGGCTGAGCCTGGTTCTTGGGGAAGTTAGTCTTGGCATTCTGGCCATTCATCAAAATGGCTGCTTGATCATAAGCCCTTGCAGCAGCCTCAGCTGTCTCAAACGTGCCTAGCCAGACCCTTCTCTTCCTGCAGTGAGAAGAAATAAATAAATAAATAAAGAGAGAAAGAAACAGAAGCAGCATTGTGTTGGTTTGGTTTGGAGATTAATGAGATGATTACAGTAAAGGATGGCGAATTTCTGACACCCAGGAGCCCCACTGGCGTTGCCTGACTCCTCTGAACTTCTTGGCTTGTACCATATCTTTGTTAAATGGCGCGTGAGAAAGTGAGAGAGAGAAGAAGAGAGGTGAAGGGAATTAATAGGGATTAATAAGAAGAGTAGTGTAAGTATTTAACGAGTGTTAACGAAATTTATGTGGGTTGTCGGTGAGGATTGGACGGAAAGTTGAAGTGAACAGTACACATGCAATAAAAGTTTCACCTGCACAACTTTGATAAATCCATGGTTCCTTAACAACTCAAATTAATGACCACCTTGTAGGCCTCCTTCTGCCCACAAACATTATGCCATCACAAGCTGTGTTCCATTTCTCCACACTTCCTTTTTCCACGCAACACGGAATGTCAAAAAATATTACCCTGTAATTTCACCTTTTCAGCTCACTCCTTCCATATATATCTTCAAACTCTCTCACAAAACCATCACAAAACAACCCCCTTTTCTCATCACGTGAATTCTAATGGAAAATCTTTCGTTTTTCTCTCCACAATCAAATTCTTTTTTTAAATTTTCCACAACTTAACACCTTTTATCATGGATTGTCTTATTCACACTTACGTCAACCAATATTTTTGCCAAGGAGTCAACTAATTCCTAATATCTGTTACAAAACTTTTCTACCTGAAATGCAGCCATGATCTCCTATTTTTCATAGCTGCCCAAGTACGATAATCTGATCCCTGTTTTCTTCTTCCTTGTTTATTTTATTATGTCATGTGATGGACAGATCAGCCCTTAAGAGTAATGGAGAATTTCAAAATCCTATTATCCCTGCATTATACTCTTACTTATTCGCATTTTTATTTAAAATGTTTGTACAGATTTAATTGGAATACAGATTTATATAATATTATGAGTAATGTAATATAAAATATTAACAATAGTATGAAATATTAGGAGTTATATAGTTATGGAAATTAAAAATCATATGATACATTATATATTTATTGAAAA